GTCCATTCGTATCTCCCAAATTTACAGGACTGTGAATTATGTATTCTGTCAGTTAATCTTTCTTTTATGAGCTCATTAGGAAAGAAAACAAACATCTCAAGCAAGGGATCAGTCCTATTTTCACAGACCAGTCTAACATGGGACCTCGCTAACTCATCACTTAATTCATGAGGTTTCTAATGCACAAGTTCTCTAATTCATAAGCTGCAACTCATAACTCATGACTCAATTTGTACCTCGCAACTCATAACTCGCGCACACCGGAGAGCAGATTCTGAAGAAACTGCCAGATAATCTACGTGCAAGAACTGTAGCTGCAGGAGACAGCAAGCTGCAGGTGATAAAGGCTTCGTAATGACCTTTAGCCCTTCCTGGCCATGGTGCCACACCTACACCTGAGCCTCCCTCCCATCCCCTGCCTGCCAGGACAAGAGACACCGTGCAGAAACAACCCCACACAATTCTACCTCCTTGCCCCACACCCTTCCTTTCCGCACCACAGAGCTACTCCCCCCCACCCCACCCCGGCCCCAACTGCTAATATCCCCTCCCATCTCTTGCAGCTTCTTGTTGCCGCCCTTTCCTGCTGGGTTGCAGGGCTGTCCTGCTGGGGACCAGTGCCACCAGGCTGTGTTCCACATCCATTCCACACTGAGGAAACCGCAGAGGTGGGCTGTGGGAGATGCTGCTAGGGAGGTGCTGGGGCGACAGGGATATGCTCAAGGAGATGGGCCTCCTTATCTCGCTTACCCAGGATGGGAACTAAGCCCACGGACACAAGAGTCCACATAGCCAGAATGTCTTCCTCTCACCTTCCCCCGGCTTTCACCACAGTCACCCCTGCCTGGCCCACCATCACCTGGCACTATGCCCCAGGAACAGCCCCATTACTCCCTTGGCACTGGTCTGGCCTGTGACAGCTTCGAACCTGAATGCGCAGAGGTGGTAAAGAACAAGTAGTTGACATTGTCAGGGCACCCTTAGGTGTCCTCCTTTCATTCCTGTCAGGACACTACAAGGTGTTCTTCGGCTCCACTGTGGCAATGCCCAGCATACGGCAGTTATGGTTGGCATTGTGGGAAAACCTCTTGTTGGTGACAGCACCTATGGGGCCGCAGGAGGCTCCCAGCCCTTCCTTGGGAGCATGTGCTGTGTGGGCCTGATGAGACGCTGCCAGTACCAGGCCACAGGAACATAGCAGAAGTGGGACCTGAAAGCACATCACAGGGTCAGTACGTGCCCTACTCATCCCTGTATGGCAGACCTTCTCGGCTGGATCTCTTCACCCTGAAACATCCCTGAAAATCCAGCAG